GGGAAAGAGAAGCTCCCCCAGGGGGACGCCACCCGCCATCCCTTCTCCATTCTCCTCTCAGGGCTTTGGGCGTGCACACATGCACCTGGCGTGTTTCCCAAGCTGGTCTAGGATTTGAACCACGCAGTCGGCCACGTGGGATCCGGCACCTGAACCACTGTACCACCTCCTAGCCCAAGAGGCCACTTCTGAGCATGTGCAGTGTAGCCCCCTGCTTGGGGGGTGGGGGTGGGCTGCAGGGCACAGGGAAGGAGGACCCCAGGGTCTCTGGAGCTGAAGGACCCGACTGGGTGTAAGTACAGCCAGTGTGGGTAGAGCTGGGCAGATGTCCCTCCAGCGAGCAGAGGCGCTGTGAGTTTCTTGTTTTTTTGTTTGTTTGTTTGTTTCTGAGAGGTTTTCGCTATAGGGCACGTGCGCTCGCCAGACAGACAGAGGAGACAAAGAGACAGAAAGCAGGAAGTCACCCTGGCCACGCTGCAATCTATTCTCTTCCATTCTCCTCTAGGGATTTTGAGCACTCATGCACACGCACTGGCATGAGTTCTAAGCCACCAGGTCCGGGACGCGAACCGTGGTCGACTACGTGGGAATCCAGCGACATAGCCATTACGCCAACTGCTGGTTCCCTAGGGGGTGTGAGCTCTGAACCCACGAGATGCTAACGTGGAAAAGCAGGCACCCCCTCCCTCGTCCCACCTCCACCTCACTCAGGGGAAGCTGAGGCAGAGAGGCCCACACCCAGCTCAGATCCCCAGTCAGCGGGGCCAACGCACAGCCTGACCCTGACTCAGCCCGGCCCAGCCCCACATCCCCGCCTCCTGGCCTCTGCCATCCCTGCTTTCCTGCTAGGGCCACCTCCAGCACCTCCTCCTCCCTGGAGCCCTCCCTGGCACCTCCGCCCGCAGCCCACAGGTGTAGCCGATTGGCAGGGTGACACCCGCTGGCTGGGACCCAGTTCAGGGCCAAGGAGGTGGGGCCACCTCAGGCCTCCCACGGGCCAGTGGCTGGGGGCCCTACTCCCTGTCCCCTTGCAAGGCAGTGTGTGGGCGCCAGCAGACGCCAGCCGGGAAGACGGAGCGAAGGCGGGAAAGTGTGTACCGGAAGGCCCCCCACCACTCCAGAAGTGGTTTTTGAAAATTAATTTACAAGAGGACTTTAAAAGGTTGGTGAAAACGTGGAGGAGTGGAAGTATTAATGTAGGCTAGCTCCTTGGCCTGGCAGCTAATTCAGCTAGATCCCACATGGCCAACTGCTGGTTTGAATCCCAGCCCCAGGGGCATGAGAACCTGCCGTGGGCGCCCCAGTCCCGAACACAGGGAGGAATGGAGACGGGATTGTGGTGTGAGTGCACCCTCGGGGCGTGCTTTCTGCCTCCCTTGCTCCGCCTAGCACGCACGCCCTCCGGCAAAGCTTCGGAAGTGGCATACGGCACAAGCTCCTGTGGTGGTGAGACACATGTGAGGCGTCACGGTGCACGTGTCCCCAGCGTGTCTGAAGAGCCCTTCCACGCACACGCACTGCCCGCTGCCCACACACGGCACCCTTGCCTGAAGGGGCGGGTGAGGCTATGGGGCCAGGAGCTGTCACTCTGACCCCACGAGGGGCTTCTGGCAGCCCCTGGTGGGTGCTGAGAGACACTGCTCTTGGGACATCTTGGGGCCTGCTTCCACCCTGAGTCAGGCCTGAGAGGAGACTCTGCGTCCGGGACATGGGGGGTCGCAGACCCACGAGCAGCCTGCAGGTGACAGCCAGGTCCCTTCAGCTCCACTGCCGCTGCAGGCCGCACCCCTCAGCTGCCGTGCCCCTCGTGCCCTGCCCCAGAGCACCTCGGACCACAGAGGGGCCAGCAGACTCCGGAATCCGGTCCAGGCTTCCTCCCTGCTCCCTGTCCACAGCCTGGCACCATGAGGCGAGGCGTTGCCCAGCTCTCCCGGTGAACCATCCACAGAGGGAACCCCACGCAGTCTGTGGGGGTCAGATGCAACCCTCCCGGACACTCCTGGGACCCCACCCTGGTCTCAAGGCTGTGTGAGCACCAGCCCTCAGGAGGAGACAGGGCACCTCGGCTCCGAGTGGCCAAGCTCAGGGGCAGAGCAGAGGGGACAGGCCAAGAGTGTCCCACAGCCAGTGTGGGCTCCAGGAGCCCAAGGGCAAGGCCAGCTAGGGGTGGCAGATCCCTATCCTCACCCAGGAGCCGCACACCCATGATGGGGGACGCCCCACGCCCCAGCAGGATGGGAGCTGGGAGGCCCGGCCCCCACGCACCCCGCTCATTCCTGCACCCACCTGTGACAGTGGCAGGGTGGGGAGTAAGGCAACTGTCTCCTGCGCTCCCAAAGTCCCCAGAGCTGAGGCACGGGCCGGCGCTGTCCGCGGTGCTGATCCGCAGAGGGCCCACCTACACCGCTACTCGCAGAGCCACACGGACACACGCGGGCACGCCTGTCACGCGGATGCCCGCGGTCACACGTGTCCCACCCTGCAGCACCCCTTCCCAACAGAAACCGCGGCCCTGACTCCCCCAGGCAGACCCGCTTGGACACGCCTCCCCGTCACACGCTCGTGTTCACACACACGCAGGCACGGCCTACGGGGATACGCACCGGCCACAGGACGCACGCCGAGGGACAGAACCGCAAACACGCGGGCCTGCTCGGAGCCTTTGCAGCATCACCCGGCTAAATCCACGTCAACAGCCACACACCCCCGGCACACGGGGCACCACCTGGCGGCTCGCGTTTGGCAGCTCACCCAGCCCTGCACTGCCCGGCCCGCGGACCCCAGACGCGCCTCCTCGCGGCGCCGGGCGCAGGTGGAGACCGTGGGAGCGCGCCGGGTCCGCTTAACCCCTTCTGCGCCGGCTTCTCCCTGCCGCGTCCTTCCCGGGCGCTCACGTTCCCCTCTATTCGTCCTCTCTGCCCCTCGGCGCTCAGACCCCGGCCCTGTAGTCCGCGACCTGCGCCCGCCCCGCAGGACACGCGATTTCAGGGCATGTGGGAGGGGTTGCTCCGGGGTCACCCCGAGCCCGCGTGCGCCCCGGCTCCCCACCCAGGAGCCGCGCGCGGCCGGATCCCTCTGGGGCGGGTCCCGGGCACGCCCGAGGTCACCGAGGGGCCCGAGGTCCCC